ATTTGAATACATATCCCTCCCACGAACAGACACAGAGTCAAGAAGCACATAAAAGGATGCTCAAACTCATTAGTCATCAGGGAAATGCAGAGCAAAACAAAATCTACCCACCAAGACAGCCACCATTTAGGAAATAATTCACAGAGACAGCTCGGCGGGTGGAGCACCTGCTTTACACATTCAGGATGCCGTGTTTGAGCTTTGCTGGGTATAGCCATAGGGGATGCCAGCCCAAACACAAAACCAGCAGGCCTGAACCATGGGGCTGAGTGTTGCCAGGCCTGGACCCTGGGCACCCAAGCAACCCCCAGAAAATAACCAACCAACTATTAAAAGAAGTACTGGTAAGAGCATAGGAGACTTGGACCTTCCTACATAGCTGGAGGGAGCCTGAAAGGTCCAACCAGCACAGAAAACAGTTTCAACGGTTCCTCAAAATGCCAGTGCCACAGTGGCTTGCTGGAAGCCCTGCCTTGCAAGCTGGCAACCACAGGCCCCATCCGGCACTGCCCAGAGGTACTGAACAGGCCTGGTGGCTCGGCTTTGGGGGCCCGCTGGTGCCATGACAGAACACAGGTCCACTGCACACAGGCAGCTGTGTGCACACACCACCCCCACTGTCCTCCACCCTATGAACCTAAAAAACCTTCCAAGTACAGCACCCCTGAGAAGGCAAGAGAGAACGATGACACCGAATTCCCATCTGCCCCCTTGCCCCTTGACCCACCACACACAACACACATACACATACACACACGACCTACACTGCTCCTGGAACCAAAACGGGTCTTCAGAAAAAAAATATGAGCAGATGTTCTTGGAGTCACTAAAGGTAGAAACAACATGTGGATCCATCACGGAATGAAGGAAGACAAGAGGCCTAGGCAGGCAGTGGCGTATTGTTCAGCACGAAAGGTAATGAGTCCCAACACAGGCCGACACACAGCTGGACCTTTTGCCAGCCGGCAGAAGACAGGGGAGAGCCACACACTGCAGGGCCCAGGACAGGAAAGTCCCAGACAGAGCAAACAGGTGTGGTGAACAGCTGGGGCAAAAAATGGGAAGTGATTGCCACAGGGCCCACGCTTCCTTTCCAGGGTGATCAGGTCTGGAACTATAGAGTGGGGACCTCACACGCTATGTGAATGTACTGAAGTCCCTGAATGTCATTCTTCAAAAGAGCTAAAATTGTTCATTTCAGATTCTGTGTCTTTGAACACAATTTTTAAAAAGTCACTGACAGGACCAGAGAGGTGACTCAAAGGCTGGGAGCACCAGCTTGGTGTGCGGGAGCCTTAAGGTTAATCCCCCGAATCCCAGGGCCCCCTAGCATAGCAGCACCAGGCCTGAACACTGAACCCAAATGACCAAGTATCTCCAGAGTGACCCCCAGACTCCCAGTACTGCTTGGAAAGCAAATTTTTTTCAAAAAATCACTAGAATGAACAAGATTTTACCATACAATTAAAAAACTTGACCTAATCAACACATCTAGGACAAAACCAACAACTACAAACACACTCTGCTCAAATCCACATGAAACATCAATTCAGATGGATCTCACTAAATGGAAAAGTGAGACTCAGCAAATTGCAAAGAAGTGAACTCATTCTGGGTAAATTATCTGATTTAAAATATAACAACAACCAGGCAGAAGCCATGCATGCAGATCACTCAAGGCCCAGGGACCGCCTCACTCCCAGCCCTCCCTCACTCCCACCCCCGCTCCCATCAGCAGGGCCTCCCAACCTGCCCTTGACCCTCAAGCCTCTCCCCAGAGCCTCTGTCTCCAGCAGAAAAGAGTCATCGCTGGTCTGGCTCAGCCTCATCCTGAGACCTGAGCCCCAGCTCCATTGGGCCAGGCAGCCCCATCTCCTGGCCGGGACTGAGAGAACATGCAGGGTTGTCATCCAGGAAACCATCAGAGCCTCTGATCCAGAAAACCAGGCTGCGTGACTACTGCCATCCCTGGAACAAGCCCAGTCCATCTTTAAGGCTCCCCCCCAGAAACAGAATGAGACAGGCCAAGCAGGAAGAAAGCAGATTGGGACAAGAGGGAACTGGGTGGCAGGGAAAGGCCTCTCCAAAGCCCCACCTCTGCCCTCCGCCTGCTCACCCTCCCTCACCCCCCCCCCCCACCCCCGTAGCCACTCCACTGACACTGCTGTTGGCTCTGCATCAAAATCCATCCTGCACTTCCCTCCTGACTCCATTTCTGACCAAAACTGCCATCTCCTGTCTGGAGGCTGGAACTACCATCAGCCACCTTCAGACTGACCCAGTCCCGGGGCTGACCACACCCCAAGCTCAAGCTCCAGGGAAGTTCTGGTGCCATAGTTCTCCTGCAGTGGCCCTGTCTCTGTGCCAGCTCTGTGGATCCACATGGAGTGCACACACACATGCACGTGCATATACGCACATGCACACATGCACACACACCTTCCTCAGAACTCAATACATTCCATCCTAGATTCCTCCAGCCAGCAGCACATCCTGGGGTACACGGCCACGGCCTTTGACAACTCTCAAGAACCGTCCATGGTGTCCAGTTCCTTCTAAATGATTTTTATACTAGGTCCCAAGGAAACGACTCTAGTGACAAAGATCCATCAGTGGCCCCAGGATGTGGACCTCACTTTGTCTTTTATATCATTCAGTGTCTTCCAGCTTGTGTCTTGCCACACTTCTGGCTCTTGCCTTCAGAGACCACACAGCCCTGCTATTCCTCAAGTCTCCATGCAGCTTGAACTTGCCACAACACTGTACCCCAAGATGAGGCTACTCGACTGCATCTCTCCAGTGTTCAGCTGCCCCCGCTCCCCCCACATCTCACCTGTTCATGATGGCAGTGCCCAATCCTTACTGGCTTCCTCTGGTAATGCCAACTGGCACCTCAAACACCACACACACACGTGCTTTCCACATGTAAGAAAGTGGCTCCTCCATCTGTCAGACGCTGGGCCGTCCTTTCTCCCCTTTTCCACTCGACCCTCCATGAGCAGTCCTATGAGATTCGTCCTCTGCCAGTCCCCATGCAGGACACCTCACTTCTCTCTGAGGCCCTGTCCCCACCCGCGCGCCCACAACAGCCGCTATGGAAACGCTTTGGCAGTCACTCTGGAAGTTCAACAGAACATCCACGTGACCCCCAAGCCACTCCTGAGCATGTCCTCAAAATTAAAAACAGGTGTGCACAACCGTCTGCTCGCAGAGGGGGAGGTACCCACTCCCCTCACCCCACCCCATCTCTGCCCCCGCCTTACCTCCCTGGAGGGGCACCTTGCCCCCACTCCAGCAGGCCCCTAGCATAGTCCCCTGCCCGCTGCCTTCAGGAGCTTTTGGCTTTTCCAGGGCCTATTCATGCGCCATCCCCCTGGCCAGCAGCCGGGCCTGAGGTGGGGGCTCCCCTCTGTGCCATCCAGGGACCGGGAGAGACACAGGGCTCCTGTGGTCCCTCTTGCTGGACCCTAGCCCCCACCCCTCTGCCTGGCCCCTTCTGATGGGCGCTGCTTCTGGGGACCTTAGGATGCGTGTTCCTGAGAGGCCCCACCGCAGCAGGCCTCGATGAGGAGCAGAGCCAGGGAGGGGGTGTGGGGACCCTGGCAGAGTCCACAGGGCTGCAACACCCTGAGCTTGGGCCAAGCACTCTAGCAGGGCTGCTTCTTGCCTAAATGCCCAGCCTTGCAGAAGGGGTAACTGAGGCTTGGGGCTGGAAGCAGGTCACCCCAGCTGCACAGTTAAGTGCAAAGACAAAGAATCTGGGGCCCTGCTCCAGTCACTGAACTACAACAGCACCTCCGGGGAGAAATCGGGGGTCCCACCCACCAAGCCTGCCCAGCAGACTCCCGACGTTGCTCATTAGCTTCGGCTGCGCGGCCGAGCAGCTGGCCATTTCTCGGCCTGGGGTTCACCAAGCAGTGCTGCTGTCCTCACTGGCATGCGGCTGGCACAGAAGGCCTGGGCCCGAGAGCAGGGCCCAAAGTGGTGGGGACAGGAGCCAGCGGCACGCTTCATGCCTCCCTCCTGGCTGGTGCGGGGGATACGCACACTCACTGTGCTCTCCCACCACACAGCCCTGGGCCCTGCCCCACACAACTGCCACAGCCAGTGAAGGCACCTCCCAGGGCCCCGTGGGGCCTTGAGAATGGCTTTCCGGCCCCCCATCATTTCAATCCTCATATCAATATGAATACTTTTGTTGTTCTCCCATCGGAACAGGGTCCCAGTGAACTCTCTACTGGGGCAGACCCGGCACTGGCTCCTGGTTCTTCCCAGGACCTTGGGGAGTTGGTGGAACCCAGAGGGGGCGGGGGTGCGCCCAGGGTGCTGCAGGCAGGTCGCCCAGACACTCCTTGACCCCTCTGTGCACCAGACTGAGGATGGTGCCAGTTGTTCCCAACCGCACACAGAGGCCGTGAGCACCCCTGGGTGAGCAATGATGAGGTGGTGACAAGGGAGAGTGGACGGTGTGATGGGCGACACAGAAGGGCTGCATGGAGATGGGCATGCACCCCACCAGCTCCACTTACCACCTGAGGGAGAGGGGTCCCCGGAGCAGACAGAGGAGAGAAGAAGGAGTTACTGAGACACCTCAGGGCCCTGGCACCTGCCCCCTCAGAGTGCCTATGGCTGGGGCACAGGGGGACGAGAATGTCTCTTGAGGGAACCACCTCAGTGGCCCGGGGGTCAGGGGCTGTTCAAAGGGGCAGCATTAGGGCTGGAGGGATGAGGTGGGAGGAATGGGTGGCCAACATGAGCACGGGAGGGGCATGCCCTTCCTCCACCACCACCACCACCCCCCCCCCACTCAGGCTCGAGGCTGCTGTCACTGCTCTGCCTGGGGTCAGAGACCCAGCAGATCCCAGGGAGTAAAACTGGGGCAAAAGTAGCCTAAAGAGCAAAGTGCTAAAAGGTCTCAGGAGGGGCCTGGGAAAGGCCATTGGCTGAGCGGGGTAGGTCAGTGAGAAGACAGGACCCCCCACCCCATACCCCCAACTCACATGTCCATGCAGGTCCGTGTTGAGCAGCATCAGGGCACAGGTGAGCGTGTGGATGCCGTCTAAATCAGAGAGGGGGCACCTGGGGTGAGCGCCCGCCCTGTCGCCACCTGTCCCTGGCAGAGTGTTTGGGAGGCCCCAGACAGGAAGAGGCCAGATGCACCTCAGGAGCCAGAATCTGTGAGACTCGGGGGCTCCCAGAACACCTGGGGCCTGCTCTGGCCTGGACACCTCCCTCCTGGGGCCAGAAACACCTGGAACCTCAGGGACAGGCATCCCTGGCCCATGGCCCTGGCCTGGCCTGTGTCCCTCCAATAAAGGACTAATCTCCCAATTCCTGGAACCCAGGTCCAGCCACGAGAAAGCTCAGCCCAGACCCCCAGACCAAGACTCCCACCACCCAAGCAGCCACTGCCATCAGGGACCAGGAGGATGAGGCCTGCTAGAAGTCAAAGAAGTCCAGAAAGGGCTTTGGGGCGGGGAGGAAAGAGCTAAGGCCAGCAGGCAGAGCCCTTCCCGGCCATGGTTCATCACTGGCATTTACTGAGCAGGAAGAGGAAGGGGTAGGGTCTGGGGTGGGGGTGGGGGATGGAGGGTGGCAGGGAAGGACAGGGGTTGGGGGGGGATTCATCTGGGAAGGGCAGGGCCTGAGGGCCCAGTTGGGGGGGACAGGGGCTGGGGCCCAAGCCGGAAGGGACAGGGGCTGGGGGCCCGGCTGGGTGGGACAGGGGCTAGGGGCTCACCAGGAGAGACAGGGGCTGGGAGTTCCAGGCTGGCCAGGAGAGACAGGGGCTAGGGGGCCCAGCTGTGGGGGAGGGGCTGGGGGCCAGCTCAGGGGTACAGGGGCTGGGCTTACCTTCTGAGGTGCTGTCGTCAGGGTTGCACTGGCAGTACCGCCGAGAGAAGTGCGTGAGGACCCGCTCGCGCTCCTGTGTCTCCCCCATCAGCGGGAAGGCCTTCAGGAAAGTTCTAGAGGATGATGCAGGGGGAGATGAAGCCCCTGAGAGTCCTTGTCAGGGACCGCGTAGCTCCTACGTAAGTCCTGACCCCTCCTGCCCACTGACCTGAGCGCTCGGTCCAGGGTTAAGCCCGAGAAGTCGAAGAAGCTGAGGTACTCCCCAGCCACCAGCCTGCTGAACTCGTTGCTGCAGGAGAGAAGGGGCATCCATCAGCACAGACATGGCCAACAGTGGGGGGGCATGTGGAGAGTGGGCCCCAGGTACCTTCACCTTCAGCCAGACCTGCCCGTTCCCTGCCTCTCACCCACTCCCTCCGCTGCTGCCAATTGGGCACTGACTTCCTTGCCAGTGGGGCCGGAGGGGTGAAAAAGGAGGCGAGCAAGGGGTCCTAGTAGAGGTGACAAGGCATCCTAGAGGGGTCCCAGCCAACATCCACGGGAAGGAAGAGGTAACGGGGGAGAAGGGAGGGCTGGAGCAGAGCGCCCCCTGCTGAAGAGACCACACATGTGCAAGAAGGGTTGTGGCCTGGGGGCCAAGAGCAGGCACTGGGGCAAGAGATGAGGCAGAGGGCAGTTGTGTCAGCACAGCAGGCAGAGAGCTTGCCCTGCAGGTGGCTGACCCAGGTTTGACCCCTGGCACTTCATATGGTCCCCTGGACCCCACCAGGAGTGACCCCTGACTCCTGATTGCAGAGCCAGGAGTAAGCTCCAAGCACCATTGGATGTGGCCCAAATAAACAAAAATAAATAAATAAATAAAGGCAGAGAAGATTCAACAAGAGGAGAAAGTCACTGGAAACCATCTGTGGGAAACTGCTCCTTCCATCCCCACAGGCCAGCAGGAGCATGGCCCTGCCCACCAAGCTCCACCTGGCCAGCTTCTCCTCAACCCACGGCAACAAGCTTTGGAAGGAAGTCATCTCCCCACTTCCACCCTTCCTACCTCAAGTGTATTCCTGGGACTCCTACACTGAACTCCTCCAAACTGGAGTGCCTTGCTGGCCCCAGCTGTGCTAATAAAACACACAGAGAAGATACTGTGGGAGCAAGAAATCATAGAACCCTAATTACAACTAGTGGAGAGACCACGGCCCTAAATTGTCCTCCAAGCCCTGCCAGGAGCTATCCCTGAGCACCACTGAGTGTAATAGGGGCAAAAAAGGGCAGGGGGCAGGCAGAATAATAGTACAGTAGGGAGGGTGCTTGTCTTGTACCTAGCAACCTGGGTTCAAGCCCCAACACTACATAAAGCCCCCTGAGCCCCTCCAGGAGTGATCCCAGAACATAGAACTAGGAGTAAACCCTGAGCACTGCTGAGTGTGGCTCCCTCTCTAAAAAACTGAAATGATAATCAAAAGTCTCCCCCACCAAAAAAAAAAAAAAAAAGAAAAACCCAGGCCACTACTGAGTTCTTCAAAACCTTTAAAGAAGACCTACTTCCCTTCCATTTTAGGCCTTTTGGGAAAGTTGAAGAAACAGGAATCCTCCCAGTCAAACATTACCCTGACACCAAAACCAGGCAGAGAATTCACAATAACAGAAAACTACAGACCTACAAGAACATAGATGGAAAGATCCTCAATGAAGTTTTAGCCAACTAAATCCAACAATACATCAAGAAGATCATATACCATAATAAAGTAAGATTCATCCCAGGGATGCAAGAATGGTTTAATATACGCAGGCCAATGAATGTAATACCATATCAATGCAAGGAAAAATAAAAACTGTATGATCATATAAATAATGCATAAAAAGCACTTGGTAAAACCCAACACCAGTTTATGACAAAAACTTTCAAAAAGATAGGGTTTGAATTTTAAAAGCCCTATCAAAAACTGAGAAGTGGAAATGAAGAGACACTTCTCAGAGGAAGACAGGAGGAGAGCCAACAGGTGCTTAGAAAAGGGCTCAGCATCCCTATCAATAATAGGGAGATCCAAATCAAGAAAACATTGAGAATAACATATATAAAAAAAATAGTAGGAACAATCTATGTGGCAGGGATGCAGGGGAAAAAGGAACTCACATCCACTGCTAGCGGGTGTGTTGTTCTGTTTCAACCCCTGTGGAAAACAGTATGGAAAGTCCTCGGTAAACTTAGAACTGAGCAGCCATATGACCAGCAATTCCACTTTTTTGGCATCTACCCTCAGGACACAAAAACATTTATTCAAAAGGACACATGTATACCATTATTCCTTGCTGCATTCGGTACAATAGATGAGATTTTAAATCAACCTAGGGGGTATGGTGCCGCCAGCAGGTCAATCTGTACCTGTGAGGCAAGTTCATCAGGAGCCTGATGGCGCCTTCAGACTCTCAGATACCCCAAAATTACTGCTGTGCCTTTGGCCAGACCCCAAAAACTTGGGGCAAAGTTTACCAAGAAAGTAAAAGGCCAAAAGTTAGGTATGTGGAAGACACACCCACAAACCACCTCGGGCTCAGCTATATAATTGGAGGCATGGCCTCTCTGGTTCCTGATCGAACTGCTTAATGGCCATGATCCCAGAGACTCAGAAACAAATCCAGACCCCTCAGTAGGTTACTGTCACTGAGCCACCCCAGGGAGGAAAGGGTACTGTCCCTCCACCTGCTCTCCCTTGGTGGTTTGGTGGCTGCCATCCTCCAGAGGCCATTGGACAGTCAGGTTTGGGCCCTCAGTGACAAGACACGCAGGGCCTCACGGGATGGGGGTGGTGCCGGCCCTTTCCTTCCCATCCCAACAAGACCCTGAGTAGCCACCCATGAACAGTCTCTCTGGCTCCTGATCAAGCTGCTTAACGGCCATGATCCCACAGACTCAGGAACAAGTCTCGGAACCCAGCAGGTATTGGCAGAAATCCCTCCATATTTAACTGTTAAAATTTCAGAATTTCAAAATCGCACAGCCACGACTGCAACGCAACATCATATTTATTCATAACCAGCAATAGAAAACAAATTGTCTACTATTGCCTTTTCCACAGATCTGAGTGTTGGGGTAAAATCCCAAATAATAATGGTGGGTCTGGTGTCAAAATATTGAACATAATCAAAGTAGAGAGAGAGTAATGTGGAAATCATCTGCCCCACAGGTAGGTAGTGGGAGGGTGTAGGGTGGGGGTATACTGAGGTTTTTGTTAGTTGAGAATGGGCACTGGTGAAAGTATGGTTATTTCATTGTATGACCGAAACTTAAACCCGAAAGCTTTGGGGGCTGAAGCAATAGCACAGCAGGTAGGGTGTTTGCCTTGCATGCGGCCAATCCGGGTTCGAATCCCAGCATCCCATATGGTGCTCTGAGCACTGCCAGGAGTAATTCCTGAGTTCAAAGCCAGGAGTAACTCCTGAGAATTGCCGGGTATGGCCCAAAAAGAAAAAAAAAGAAAGAAAAAGAAAGCTTTGTAACTGCTCTCATGGTGATTCAATAAATAACGTAACGTAACGTAAAGGCCCTCCCGTTGATCGTCGATTTGCTCGAGCGGGCCCAGTAACGTCTCCATTGGAGACTTTGTTGTTACTGTGTCTGGCATACCGAATACTCTCGGTAGCTTGCCGGGCTCTCCGAGAGGGGCAGAGGAATCGAACTCGGGTCGGCCATGTTGGCCGCTTGTAAGGCGAACGCCCTACCCGCTGTGCTATCGCTCCAGCCGATAAAATTATTTAAAAAAATTTTAAAAAGTAAGGGGGGTATGGTGCCGCCAGCAGGTCAATCTGTACCTGTGAGGCGAGTGCATCAGCAGCCTGATGGCGCCTTCAGACTTCTAGATACCCCAAAATTACTGCTGTGCCTTTGGCCAGACCCCAAAAACTTGGGACAAAGTTTACCAAGAAAGTAAACGGCCAAAAGTTAGGTATGTGGGAAACACACCCACAAACCACCTCCAAGTCAGCTATATAATTGGAGGCATGGCCTCTCTGGTTCCTGGTTGAATGCTTAATGGCTATGATCCCAGAGACTCAGAAACAAATCTCAAAATCCAGTGGCTTTTGGCAAAAATGTGTCCGGTCCCTGCAGTAGTTTACCGGTGCTGGGCCAACCCAGGTGGGAATAGGTTTCGTGCCTTGACCTGTTCCCCCCCGTGGCCCAGTGGCCGCCATCTTTCAGAGGCCACTGGACAGTCAGATTTTGGCCCCCAGTGATGAGACATTTTGGGCCTCATGGGATGGGGGTGGAGCCAGGCCTGTCCTCCCCACCCCAACGAGACCCCAAGTCATTACCCATGAATGGCCTCTCTAGCTCCTGATCAAGCTGCTTAACGGCCATGATCCCAGAGAATCAGAAACAAATCTCGAAACCCAGTGGCTTTTGGCAGAAATGCTTTTGGACCCCAAAGTACGTTACTGTCGCCGGGCCACCCCAGGGAGGAAAGGGTGTTGTCCCTCCACCTGCTCCCCTTTGGTGGCTCAGTGGCTGTCATCCTCCAGAGGCCATTGGACAGTCAGGTCTGGGCCCGCAGTGACAAGACATTTTGGGTCTCACAGGATGGGGTGGAGCCAGGCCTGTCCTCCCCTCCCCAACGAGACCTCAAGTCATCAACCACAAACAGCCTCTCTGGCTTCTGATCAAGCTCCTTAACGGCCATGATCCCAGAGACTCAGAAACAAATCTCGAAACCCAGCAGCTTTTGGCAGAAATGCATCCGGATCCCACAGTAGGTTACTGTCGCCGGGCCACCCCAGGGAGGAAAGGGTGTTGTCCCTCCGCCTGCTCCCCCTTGGCGGCTCGGTGGCCGTCATCCTCCAGAGGCCATTGGACAGTCAGGTCTGGGCCCAAGTGATGAAACTTGTTGGGCCTCACAGGATGGGGGTGGAGCCGGTCCTGGTCTCCCCGTCCCAACGAGACTCCAAGTCATCACCCACGAATGGCCTCTCTGGCTCCTGATCAAGCTGCTCAACAGCCATGATCCCAGAAACTCAGGAGCAAATCTCAAAACCCAGTGGCTTTTGGCAGAAATCCCTCCAGATTTAAGTGTTAAAATTTCAGAATTTCAAAATCACATGGCCCTACTGCAGCCACGTGACATTATATGTTATTCATAACCAGCAATAGAACACAAATTGTCTACTGTTGCCTTTTCAGCAAAACTGAGTGTTGGGGTAAAATCTCAAATAATAATGGTGGGTCTGGTGTCGAAATATTGAATGTGATCAAAGTAGAGAGTAATGTGGAAATCATCTGACCCACAGGAAGGGGGAGGGTGTGGGATGGGGGTATACTGGTGGTTTTGGTGGTGGAGAATGGGCACTGGTGAAGGTACAGGTGTTTCATTGTATGACTGAGACTTAGACCCAAAAGCTTTGTAACTGCTCTCATGGTGATTCAATAAATAAAATTATAAAAATTGAAAAAAATAAGGTGGAGTTCATGCACAATTCAATCAGCTAATCAGTGGCTGAATAAATAGCAGTACTCCTACATAAAAAAAAAAAAGTAAGGTAGAGTTCATGCCCAATTCAATCAGCCTAATCAGTGGCTGAAAAAATAGCAGTACTCCTACATAAAAATCACGAATCACGACCATCCTGTTATTTGTCGATTGCCTCGAGCAGGCCCCAGTAACGTCTCCTTCATCCTAGCCCTGATATTTTTTTTTTTAAAAAGTGCCATATTCAAGGCTCTTTCAGAGTTAGGAGAATGAGAACCTTCGTTGTTATTTGGCATATTGGGTACGCCACGGGGAATTTGCCAGACTCTGCCGTGTGGGCAGATTACATTCGGTAGCTTGCCAGTTTGTCCAATAAAATAAATTTAAAAAATAAAAATACATAAATTAAATAAAAATAAAAATAAATAAATAAATAACCTAGATGTCCAAAGACAGATGAGTAGATTATGAAGATGTGGATGTATAAACACCCTTAGCAGGTGTGGCCCAAAAACAAAACAAAAATTGGGTTTAAAAGAACTGTTTAAACATAGTTAAAGCCATTTACCAGAAGCCCATAATAAACATTATACTCAATGGTGAAACACTTAAAGCCTTCCCTCTAAGTTCAGGCACAAGATAAGGTTATCCACTCCCACCACTAGTATTCAATGTAGTAATGTAGTAATGTAAGTTCTTCCCATAGAATTAGGTAAGAGAGAGCTATTAATGATATCCAGATTGGAAAAGAGGAAGTCAAACTCCCACTATATGCAAATGATGTTATACTATACATGGAAAACCCTACAGACTCTACCAAAAAGCTCCTAGAAATAATAGACTTGTACAGCAAAGTGGCAAGCTACAAAATCAACTTGAAGAAAGCCATGGCTTTTCCATATGCAAATAATGAAATAGAAAAGAGAGAAAATTTTTAAACAACATCCCCATTCACAACTGTGCCTCAGAAAAATCAAGTACTTAAGAATTAGCTTAACAAAAGAGGCGAAAGCTTATACAAATGTACAAAGTACAAAATGCTACTAAAGGAAATAAAAGCAGATCCAGAGTGATAGTACAGAGCGGGGTAAGGGGGCTTACGGCAAGTGGTTGATCTGGGTTAGACCCCTGGCACCCCATATGGTCCCCTGAACCCACCAGGTGTGATTCCTGAGTTCAGATCTAGGAACATTCCCCGAGCACAGCCATGTGTGGTCCAAAAAAAAAGAAGAAAACACATTTCCTGTTCGTAGATTGGAAGGATTAATATTGTCAAAAGAACAACCTTGCCCAAAGCATTATTCAGATCCAATGCAGTCTCATAAAAATACCCATGACATTTTTTTTAAAACATAGATCAAACACTTAAAATTTATATAAACTAATTTTAAAAAAACCCTTAATAGTCAAAGCACTCTAGGAAAAAAGAAGCTGGGAAGTTTCTCTTTCCTCAACTTCAAACTATACTACAAAGCTTATGTAATCAAAACTGTGGTACTGGAATAAGGACAGACTCTCAGATCAATGGAATAGAATTGAAAGTCCAGAGACACATTCTCAAGTATATGGACAATTTTAAACTTTGATAAAAGAGCAAGAAATATTAAGTGAGCAAGAAAAACCTCTTCAACAAACAGTTGGGAAAACTGGGTGGTCACATGCATAAAAAAAAAATGAACTCAAACCCCTTTCTAACACCATGCACAAAAGTCAAATCAAAATGGTTTAAAGACCTCGATATTAGACCTGAATCTATAAACTGTATAAAGGAAATCATAGGTAGAAAACTTTATGACAATGAATCTAGAGGGCTTCTTTAATGATTCAATGCCATTGGCCAACCAAATGGATGCAAAGATAAGCAGGGTGGACTACATCTAATTAAGAAGCATCTGCAGTGTAAAAGAAATATGACCAGATTCAAAAAAGACACCTCACAGCCTGAGAGAGACCAAGATATATAAAGCATTAGTAGAACCTCACCAAAAATTTGGGGCAGAGGGATCACTACAGTGGGTAAAAAAACTTGCCCTGCATGCAGCCAAACTAGGTTCAATCCCCAGCACCTTATATGGTTCCTAGGCTCTGCTGGCAATGATGCCTGCGTGCAGAGTCAAGAATAAGCCCTGAGCACCACTGGGTGTAACCCAAAACAAAAAGAAGAGAAGGGGAGGAGGGAGGGGGAGGGGAAAGGGAGGGAGGGGAAGATGAAAAGAAACTTTCCTCGATGAAAACAAACAAGTGGCCAAAAGGTATATTTTAAAATGCTCTATGTCACTTATCAAGGAAATGCAAAAAATATCACCGCACACCAGAAGACTGGCACATACCACAAAGAACAGAAACAAGCAGTGTTGGTGTGCACGTGGGGGAGACTCTCATTCAGGGCTGCTGGGCATGTCAACTAGTCCAATCTTTCATAAAAACAATATGAACTCTTCTCAAAAAAAAAAAAAGGAATTGAAAGTCTGGAGACAGTGTACAGTGGGCAGAGTGCTTGCTTTTCATGCAGTCGACTGGTTTCAATCCCTAGCATACCATTCTACTTCTTGGTATCTATCTAAGGGCCCAAAATCTCTATTCAGAAAAGTCGTTTGCACCCCTATGTTCACTGCAGCACTAGTCACAAGAGCCAAAATTCAGAAACAAACCTGAGGTCCAAGAACAGACGAGTAAACAGAGAAGCCATGGCATATATACATCATGGAATACCACTCAGCTATAAGAAGAGATGAAATCGGGCAATTTTCAGCTATGTGGATGGATCTGGAGAGTATCGTGCTGGTGAGGGACAGACAGAAGGATCTCTCTTCTTAAGTGGGATATCAAGAACAACACAGTGGAATAACAAATGCCCAAAAGCAACCAAAACCCAGAACTGGTCTTCAGTAAGACGCCTACCATGGGGCAGGGAGCTGGAATGGCAGGAGAGGAGGACAGTAATGGGGGAAGGAACACCGGGACCAACAGTGAAGGGAAGTGGGCACTGGTGGAGGGCAGGCGCAGGGAGATTTATGTAAGAACCAACTGTAAACCAGGGTGCCTGCCCCAAGAGAACCAAGAAGGGAGTCAGGCAGAGGGGGAGGGGGATTGCAGGGAGTGAGAGTGGTGGTGGTGGGGGGGGGGGGTGGTATTGGTTTCTAAGGGGAGAGAGAACTCAGTCCTGGGATGGAGAGGAGAAACTCTCCTAGTGAGGGACTAGGTTAGGCTCCTAGATGTAATCAAGTTGGGGGTTACAGCCCAGCAAGAAAAATGGGGGCATCCAAGTGATTTCTGGGGGACAGAAGAGGGTGCGATGCAGAGCACCTCCCCAGCCTAGGCGCAGTCCCATCCCGCTGAGCTTTCTGGGCGCCTCCGGGAACCTCCCACGGTGCCGCAGGCAAAGGCAGGGGTGTCACAGCCTCACAGTCCCCCCACCCCCCAACTCCTGCCACTCACCCATCAAGCCCCTGACCCCAGCCAGGCCTTGGTGCTGCTCCGCTCCCACCAGACACCCCGAGATAGGAGTCCTTTTCCAGTTTGGGGGGCCACACCCCTGCTCTGCCTAGGCACTGTCCTCACCGACCTTGGGGCCCCAAACCAGTCCCGACCTCCTCCCCCAGCCCCAGGGGGGCTCCCTGTCGAGCACGAGCAAGCAGCCTGCACCCAGGCAGCCCAGAAAGGAAACAGATTTAGGCCAAGGCCAGGAATGAGGACAGGGCAGGAGGAGGGGCCCTAACACCAGCCCTCGCCCAACACTTACTTCTTGCCCAGCTGCCGGGCCACGTCGCAGCGCTGGAAGCCCTCGAGGTGGTAGAGACGCCGCGCCAGCCGCCGGGCTGCCTCGCTCACCCCCGGGCACCCGTTAGCCAGAGGGTCCACACTGGTGGGCTCCGGCCCCTCTGAGCTGCTTAACTCGGAGTCTGAGTCCGACAGGCCCGGCTCGCTGCAGACAGAGGGGACAGGTGCTCAGGGCAAGGAGCCGCGCACCGGCAGCACCCCGGCAGCAGGAGGGAACTGAGCCAGCTTCTCCAAAGAACACCTCAAGTGAGAAGGTAGCAGGGCCAGGAGAGGCGGTGCCCCCCCCCCCCCCCCCCCCCCCGCCCAGGATAGGCAGATCTCGGAGAACTGACAGATGGGGGTGTCTGGGCATGGAGAATGGGTTCAATGATATGCCCCTGGGCCTCAGATGCTCCCCGCCCCGTCCCTGCTCCCAGCCTGGGCCTGGCTCACCTGACCGAGTTCAGCAACTTGTCTCCTTCCTCGTCCTCCTCATCCTCCTCCTCCCTGCCAGGGTCCTGGAGTCCATCATCGTCTTCGTCGTCATGGTGGAAGCCGTTGGGCACGGAGGTGAGGGACAGACGGCTCAGGACGTTCTCAGAGCGGCTGCAGGAGATGGAGCGCCGCAGGGGACTGCCCAGCTCGCCGCCAGACCCGCCAACGGCCAGGCCCACATCTCCCTCAGGCCCCAGATCGCCCATGCCCAGGCCGAGGGCAGGCTCAGGGCTGTCCCGCGCCCGCTGCTGGATGAGGGGTGTGAGAGGAGCCTCAAAGCTGACGCAGCTGTCGCTCTCGTCTGTGAGGCTCAGGACGTCCAGCGAGTCCAGGCTGCTGTACTGGGTGCCCCGCAGCAGCTCCGACTCCACGATCTTCTCAAATGTGGCGCTAAAGCCGTCTCGCACGTCAGGCTCCCCGGGGCCACCCGGCCTGTGGGAGGGGAATCCCGTCACCGTTGCCAGCGGGGAGTGCCCTGGAGGTGACACTTAGGGCTAGACCACTCCTATCTGCTCTTCAGACAACACACCCCGGGGCCTGGGTTGGTACTGGAGTATGGCAGTGAGGACTGGGGTGGGCCTGCCCCCCTCCCTGCCCACTTCCAAGAGCATCAACTGTCTGAAGGAATGAACAGAGGCTCCTTCCTCCAGGCACTAAGGGGGGGGGGGGGCAGGGTGGAGGTGAAACTTCCTACCAAGAGGGGAGCCATAGAGGTCATGTCCCCCTCAAACCTGGGAAGTTCCTAACGGAGCTGACCCCATTCTAGATCTCAGATGCCTTCAGGACGCCCTCAGTGAGGCTGACTGAGGGAAGCAGGTCTCACTCACTCACACACACACACACACACACACACACACACCCTCAAGGCCTCACCATTCCCTCCCAGCCCACAGTGTACAGGATGTTCTGGCTCTCCCCTCTCTGTGTTCCCAGCATGGAGCAGCAGGCACAATAAATCCTGCTACTGAAGGGGCAAAAGGTGGGCACAGAGGCAGTCGCGCCCCGGCCCACCACAATCAGAACACTTTAACGACCCAGGGCTGCCCCAGGTGAGAGAGGCCTTCCTGGCAGGGAGGGAATAGCCCCAGCTGAAGCTTCTGCGTCCCTGACAACTCTGCTGGCAGCTGGACCCGCTTCCGCCAAGCCCCTCTCCCCACCTTCTTTCCTCTAGAGCACAGAGGTGCTACCTTAACCTACAGCTCTCTTGCCCCCCACTGGGCCATGAGCACATAAAGTGGGCGGTTGTGTTGGTTGGTTCGTGGAACAGAGCATCCTGCAGAGACAGAGCGAGCCTGGGAGGATTCAGGATGCCTGAGCAATGAACAGGGAAGCAGAAAAGGATAAAAGAGCAAGACCGGAAGTGAGACAAAAACGAGAGGTGGGAGGAAAGGGGAGGATGAGAAATGAAAACGACTAGAAAGAGGCAACAGAGTCGGAGAGTAGCAGAGAGAAAGCCAGAAACGCGGACAAACAAGAAGTGAGCCTAAAAGTAGAGAGAGAAGACAGGACAGCGGGTACCCTGTCCTGCACGTGGGGACCTGGAACCAATTCTCCGCATCCCAGATGGTCTGCCGAACCCGGCCAGGAGGGATGCCTGAGCGCAGAGCCAGGAAGAAGCCCTGAGCACCCCTAAAAACATAATGTTTGGCCTAAAAACATAATGAAGCAAAACAAAATAAACAAATAAAGGCAGTCCCAAGTTTGAGCCCTGGACCTGGTCAATCTAGGCCCATTGTTTACAGGATAGACACCCCTCCCTCCCACTGATCTGGCTGAGACCACGAGTTGCTGAAACTGGAAAGGCCCTACCCTACAAACAAGCATCTACCTCCACGGGCCTCCAGAACCTAAGATCTAGTCTGAGTGCCTCCTGCAGAAGCACATGGAAGGGGGTGGTGGAGAGAGAGAGAGAGAGAGAGTGTGAGAGAGACAAAGAGAGATAGGGAGGGAGGGAGGGAAGGAGGGAGGGAGAGAGGAAGGGAGGAGAGTGGTGGGGAGAGGGGGAGAGAAAGAGAAGAGAGAGAGACAGGGAAAGAGGAGAGAGTGGAGAGAGAGGGAAGGGGAGAGAAGAGTGAGGGGGAAGAGAGAGAAGTGAGGAGGGAGAGAAAGAAAGGAGAGGTGAGAGGGGAGAGAGAAGAGAGAGAGAGAGAGAGAAAGAGAGAGAGAGAGAGTGTGTCTGTGTGTGTGACAGCTACAGTGACTCTCCCTCAAGCCCCACAGGTCCCGGGAGGTCTCCTCCAGGTCTCCTGCAGAGAAGGCAGAGGGAGGAGGCCTTGGGGCAGGGGGCTGGAGCAGAACTTGTCCACACCAACCTCTGGGGTAAGAAAGGAGCAGAGTGTAGGGGTGCTGCTCCCCCCAGTAGATGCCCCGGCCATGACACAGGCCATGGGGGGCTCTCCCCTCCTGTCAGAGCCTCAGATGATTTCCCCAGCAGCACAGACAACCTTCTCAGTGTCCAAACACCCCTGCGGGGTTGGAGAGATACTCACCCTCCCCCCGCCCCGGCTCCCAGCCAGGAAACCCCCTACACATAGTGTGCTCCAGGCAGCTGCACCCCACTCATGCCACAGCACACGGCTCCCGTCCTCCCAAACCCACATTCCCACCCGGACATCTGGCACACCTCATCCTGTACCCCCAAACACACTGACCGGGCACACAGAAGCCCTCCTGTACACTCAGGTGCCCTCACAGACATAAGCGCCACCCGCCTGTCCAGGCCAGGGCATGCAGCCCTACACCCTGAGACTCACGCACTGCTCCCATTCTCAGCCCCCTCTGGGGTCCCTGAAACACTCCCCTCCCACCTCCTTCCTCCTGCTCACCAGGCCCCCTGCCTCCGTGGGTGTGGGCAGAGGTTTCCCCCAGAGGTGCAGTCACTCCATAAACAGCTGTGATGGCACAGTGACTAAGGGAAGGGGGGCTCAGACTCCCCAAAGGAAAGGGACACCAAATTCCCATCTTATGAGAGCCAAAAATAGCCAGAGATGCTATAGGATGAGGCCTGGGCCCCACAACCCGGGCGGCCACCTGGGACACCCACTTACCCCAGCTGAGGGCCCTCCAGGTCTGCGGAGAGGCTCCCAGCGGCAGCATCTGCCCCCTCTGCCAACCCGGCAGCGCTCCAGGGCATGGGCTCTGTGACATCTTCTGGAACCTTGGAGTCCGGCCCCAGGGCTAGGCCGTTGGTGAGATTGAGGCCAAGGCTGAGGACGGGAAGGGCCATGTCCGGGCCCTTTGGAGGCCCATGGCCTGCGCTGCTGTGGACACCACCCAGATCCTTCTTTGCTGCTATTCCATTCTGGATCCCAGTCTCCTCTGTGGGCTCCAGGCTGGGGTTCCGGGAGGCACCGCATTCCTCAGGCAGTGCAGACGGGAGCTGCTTCTCATCCATCACATCCACAGCATTAATGGCCGACCAGGCCCCCTCTGCACCTAGCAGGGGCAGAGGAATCAAGGAGAGGGTCAGACAGCTACGAGGGGCATGCTGGGACTCACCCAGTGTGGCTCCAGGCTGTGAGCTCCTCCCTGCATGGCTCCAGGCCCTGCCTGCCCCCAGGACACTCACAAAAAGACAAAACCCAGGGCTGGAGCAATAGTCCAGCGGGGAAAGGTTTGCCTTGCACAGATGCGGCAACCTAGTTCCATCCCCGGCATCCCATCTGGTCCCTTCAGCAATGCCAGGAGTGATCCCTCAATGCAGAGCCCAGAGTAACCCCTGAGCATCACTGGGAGTGGCCCCCAAACCCAAAACAAAATTTTTTTAAAGACAAGCCCCACAGGCCCTTCCCAGCCTGACTTGCTCCTTTTTCCAGCCCAACTCTGACACTGGGTGAAGAGAAGGAGCTGGGCAGGGGCTGCCTTGAGACCGGGAGGTTGAGGGAGGTCCACAGAAGCTCAGCATCACAGCTGCGGGAAGGCCCCACGGTGGCCTGGCCAAGCGGGGGCCCGCGGCGCTGTCCAGGGTGCTGGGCAGGGGCGGTGCCACCCTGCTAGCCTCATGTACAGCAAGGCCTTGCGAAAGGGCTCCTGAGGAGCCATCAGAAGGCTCGGCCAATCCTGACCTCGCTCAGCTCTGCGGCCAGTCCGAGCCCCACCTCCGGCTGCCGCTCCACACCGGGCCCCCACACGCTGTGCAGCATCTACCAAAGGAAGGGACCCCCGACCAGCCAGCCCCAGCCCCCACGCACAGTTCCCAGAGGGCTAAGCCCAACCTCCTCCCAGCCCCTAGCCAGGGCTCTCTGTGTTCCGGCTCCACACCCTACTCAGCGCTCTCGGCTCTCAGGGCTCTTGGCCTCCCCCAGGCTTGACCATTTGGGCCTCACCCACTCCCCAGGGACACCGAGCCTGTCCTCCTCTCTTCAGTTATGAGCTGCCCACGGAACCCCCACTCTCCTCTGGAGAAGGGATGCTGGGAGTCGAGAGGGCTGGAGGAGGCAAGAGCAACCTCGCCACCACAAGCGGGCAAGGGCCGAGAGACCCTCGCGCATGCGCACAGCACCCCCCCTTCCCCCTCAAACCCCCCCCCCCCCCCCCCCCCCCACTCCGCGCCAGGACTCCAGGGAAGGGAGCGCGGAAGGTAACCCTCACCCAGACACTGATTTGGGAAACCCTGAACTAGGCTGAGGAGGGAGCTGCATCCCACTGGCGAAAACGCGCCCAGGGAGGAAGGGGGTCTGCCTCTCCGGGGCTCCTGGGACCCTCAAGTGGGAGGGGTCTCTCACACCTCAGAACACTCAGATTCACTCCCCGTCTCCAAAGCTGGAGTGGGAAAGGAGTGAGCGGGAAAAACCACTCACCCTCCAGAGTTCTGAACACAGTGAGAGAGGCCAAGGGGGGTAAAAATTCATACCTTTTTTTTTTTTCTTGCCAAAGACTTCCACGAAGGTAAGAATCGAAAAAAGCCAGCTCAAAGCTCTCCAGGCCCGGCTAGGACAACGGGGCCCCCACGGGACTCAGTGCGGAGGGATTCTTCCGGGCCTGTCCTCAATCCCTGCCGAGGTGCGGGTGCTATTTCCGTCCATCACCAGGGAGGGGGAGCAGGTCAGCTCCGTAAGATTCCTGGAGGGTTGCTTAGAGGAGGGCGTGGGAGAGCTGGCTTGGATGCGGGTCTCGGGGTCCCCACCCCATTCCACCAGTTCCTCACTCCCTCGAGAAGCTGTGCCCTGCTGGGAGGGGTTCCCCACCTTGGGAGACGGGGGTCTCCACCTGAGCTCCCAACAAAGCCTGAGATTTGGGGGCAGAAGCAGCTGCGGAGGCTGGAGCAATAGCATAGCAGGTAGGGCATTTGCCTTGCGCGCTCGGCAGACTCAGGTTCTATTCCCAGCATCCCATATGGTCCCCCGAGGACTGCCCGGAGAGATTTCTGAGTGCATAAACCAGGAGTAACTCCTGTGCACTGCTGGGTGTGACCCCAAAAAGCAAAAAAAAAAAAAAAAAAAAGAAACAGCTGCGGCTGATGTCCTGTCTGCACCAGCCCCAAACCAGATTATTGTCTAGGACAAAAATCAAGGACCCCTGGGGAGCCCCATCTCCGGCCACCCCCACCACCACCACCAGAAGCTACCTCAGGCTGGTTCCGGCCCTACCTGCTGAGGGGGAAACGGGGAGGGGGTGCTGGGAGATTCTGCCAACACTGGGCAAAGGGCCGTGTCCTGGGCTTCTATGGGTGAGCAGACAAGGGGTGGCATTGAGCTGCATGCTGGGCGGGGGCCCAGAGTCCTTGCCTGGGCTGAGGGCCAGCAGAGCCCAGAAACAGCTGAGCCAGGAGCCCCCCTCTCCTCGTTGAGACAGAGAGAGGGAGACGCAGGGCAGAGGCATGGAACCCTGAGACCAGGGTTGCAGCAGCCCCTCGGGTCTCAGGCACCTCGGGGTCTGCGGTTGGGGATGTCACCAGGGCTCTCCCCGTGGAGGGCTGGAAGGAGCTGACATCCTGGAGTGCACAGAGGGCAGGGACCGAAGACTGACTCCCCAGAGACCAAGTTTGAAGGCTGCCACCCTTGACCTAAGGGGAGACTGAGGCAGACAAGCCAAGTTTTGCCTGAGGTCTCACAGATGAGTTGCAGACTGTAGAACTCAGAGGAGTCTCTCCACACCAGGAGATCTGCAGTTTCCTAGGCCCTGGGCCAGCCCCTCCCACTGGGTCAAGGGCTCTCATCCTCAAAGCAGTGGGAGGTGGTCCCTCCGGTGCTGCTGGGGGGCAGGGTGGTGGGTACAGCCGGGTCACTGGCAGCCATCCCAGGAGACAGCTGCAAGTGACAGGCTGGCAGTGGCTAAGACCCCTGGCCTCTTCTCCGCACGGGGCTCCTGCTCCGCGCCCTTGACGTGCCCTTGAGCTTCACAGCCTCTTTCTCAACACCAACCAGGCTGGCTCGGGGCTGGCTCAGGGCTGGATGCCAAACAAGGCATTTTCTGGGTCTTAGACACTCCTGAGACAACCCCGCCCCTCCCCCCACACTCCCCCTGGCAGCTGGAGGGAGCCCAGAGCTCACAAATGCCCGACCACCCTTCATCCATGACCCTCCGGGCAGCCCCGGGGCATGGCCAGGTGAGGTCCCAGGGGGCTGGTACCCGGCCACAGCAGCACACACACTTTCTGCCCTGTTTTTTTGTGGTATTTTTTATGCTTTTTTAAAATTGAATCACAGTGAAAGACAGTTACAAAGTTGTTCATGATTGGGTTTCAGTCATATAATGTCCCAACACCCATCCCTTCACAAGTGTACATTTCCCACACCAATGTCCCCAGTTTCTCTCGCTCCCCGCCCCCACACACACACTCACCACCAGGCAGCATCAAGGTTTGCAATACAGATACTAAAAGCTTATCATTGTATCACTTTGCCCACTCCCACTTTCTTTCTGCCCCTGAGCATATGCCCACCTCAGGGACTTTGCACCAGCTGTGGCCTGGGCCTAGAATGCTCCTTCCCAGAGCCTTTAGTAGACACCTCTTCTGTTGCTCAGCCCTTACCACCCTCCCATCCAGCCACTTGCTAAGCATCCCCCAGCACAGGAAATCCTCGTTCCTAAGTGCCCTTTTTTCCTGCACATCTCCCTCTCTAGGAAGGATGCTCGGAGTGCCGGGGTTCTGTCACATTCACTTCTGTCTTCCCAGAGCAGTGTTCAAGTACCCATCGTGAAGGATCTGGAGATGGTCAGCATCCCCCTGGAGGCAAGACAACTGAGGGACAGACCCAGGCTCTGCTGGGGGTATTCTGGGGACCCTCCCACAATGCATTCCCACGGGACCCACATTCACAGGCCTGAGAGGACAGAGGGGAGAGGCATGGGGACAGGGCCCATACACACATCTGCATGTGAGCTCACAGCATAAACACACACACATACATACACAGGTGCAGACAAGCAATCCCCTGGGTGCTGAGGTGGCACTGAGGAACCTATAGCCCTAGGGACAAGGTTGGAGGCAGCAAGATTTACACCACTGTTAGCCTGAGCTGAAACTGCTCTACTTCAGGAGAAACGGGGGGGGGGGGGGGGGGGGGGCTGGAAGGGACAGGAACAGGGAATGGGCAGCCCAGTGCCCAATGCCCAGTGTTGAATGGTCCCACGCTGACCACAGGCATGCCCAGGGTTAAAGGGTCCCATACTATCAGCAGACCCAGGTAGCAGGAGAGAGAGAAGCACAAGCCCCCCTTGGTGGAATGGGGTGCAGGAGGCGGAACTGGGACACCAGTCCACACACTGGGCACTTCCCAGGACACAAATCCTTAGTCAGCACCTTGTGGTGGCCAAGGGCATGTGACATGCAGGGTGGTGCGGAGAGAGCTAGGATGGGAGAAAACCATTTCAGGATATCACTGTAGACCAGAGGGTTTCGAACTTATTGGACCTTCTGCCCCCTTTTCAGGAAAGAGAAATCACTCAGCACCCTGGGACTTGCCCTTAATTAAGTGCACAGACAGAAAGTGCCCCCAGTTGCACCCATCGCTCCAGAGCCCCTGGGAGTGAGTGTGGCATCGAGTTGACTCCAGGACACTCGGGGTTTCCCTCCAATGTGTGTCACTGGGGAGCTTCCACCAACTGCCCCCGTGTCCAGCCACGTTTCCCAGTGGGCAGTGGAGACTTTCCAGTCTAGACCTATTTGAACATCCAATGGAACTGTGAGTCCTACCCGAGACTGACCCTCATATGTGTGCAAAATATTGTGTTTTCTAAGGGGGCCTCGTGGCGGCTGTGGGCATGAGCCCTACCCATAGCACCTCAAGGAACTCCCACCTTGACACCAGACCCTCAGCAGGAGCCTCCAAGGGCCACTAAGCAAAGGAATTCAGAAACCCTTCATTCTCAGACCCCCTGAAACCCACTCCAAATACCCTAGGGGTCCTCCTGCCCTTCCACCAGTCTACAGTGACTTGCTGATCTGGGCACATGGGTCGGAAGGTTCGATTGATGAATGGCCTGTGGTCATTTGCACAGGGGGTAAGAACGAGCTCAGGCTGGCCCGGGTGCTCCGGGACTTCACAGGAACCCCAACCACACAGCAGGGCAGTGGGGTGTACACAGGAAGGATCGTGTGTGGGGTCTCACCATGCTCCCCACAGTCTCGCCAACCAAAGGCAAAACCTTTCTGTTGAGCCAGAGCCCTCAGGACCCCCCTCAAGGCCTCAACTGCCCAGAGTGCCGGGAGGTTCCAGGGAGCATGGAGGGAATGTCCACACAGGAGCTTCAGAACTGTGCTCCAGGTGGCAGAGGGAAGAAGGCCTCCATCCAGGACGGTGCAGGGTGGGGTGCAGAACATCCTGTCTCTAGTTCCCACCCTCCCACCAAAGGCTGTGTGACCTCAGGGAAGCATTTTGCCTCTCTGAGCCTCTAGTGCAGTGCGCCCCTGTGAAGCCACCAGTGCTCCCAGCATCGCCTCCTGGAGCTGACAGGCTGCCCACAGGGCATTCAGGGGCCAGGAACCAAGTGTCCTTGGCAGCCTGCCAGAGGCCCAGTAAGAGGGATAGCAGGGAGAAAATCCCCTCTGGGGGCAGGCAAGAGCACCAGCCCTTCTACCCTGCCCTCACTCCCATCTTCCCTGCTCAGGCACTAGAGCCACATTGCCAGGCAAGGCGCAAGGGCCAGAGCCCTCCATAAGAGGCACATGCCCCCTTCAGATGATGCCAGCTGGGGTTATTTAAGGGCCCAGCACCCTCTGCCCTCTTCTCAATTTGGTCCCTGGGGTCACCTGCATCCTGCAGGGAGCCAGCAGAGGTCCCCAGTGTTCTTTTGCATCTCATCTGCATATGCCCCAAAGCCTATTGGGACTTGCAGGGGCCCCTGGGTCCAGCTCTGCAAAGGTCATTCCTTGACATCTCCTAGCTGGCTTCTCTCTCCATCCCCCCACTTCCCCCAACCCCCACCCCTGCCACTTGGCGCCCTACTTCTTGCTTAGCATTTGCATACATCTGCATGCAGGTTTAGAGAGCCCTCATCGCTGATGAGGTTCACAAAGCCTGCTGTCAAATCCCAGATCCTGCTTATAACCGGGGCTGTCCCCCCAACTGACTTCCCCACAGGGGATCCCTCAGTCCTGTGGACCTTAAAAGCCCAGGCTATTCTGGATAAGGGCCCCCCTAAAACTCCAACAGTCCTCAGGCACCCACCCTTCTTTTGACCCATGAGGCTGGCAGCCTAGCATTGAAGCCCAAGCAAGGCTGAACTGACTGACTTGAGTGCCAGTCCTTCCAACTGGTCCTGCTCTGGCTAGAAGGCTGGGTCTGGGGGTTCTGTCTGAGTGTTTCTCTCTGGCTGCCTCAATATCAAGAGTGGGCCGGAGAGACAGTACAGTGGGTAAGGCACTTGCCTTGCACTAGGATAATCCCAGTTCAATTCTCAGCTTCCCTTGTGGTCCCTGGAACTCCGTCTCTGTGTTCGGGAGGGGGAATCAGGTGTGAGCACAGAACCAGGAGTAAGCCCGAGCACTTACTCAAGGAAGTGCAGGCCAAAAACCGAAATAAACAAAAAAACAATAGCCAAGAGGGATGTACCCAAAGGGCCCTGCACTAGACTATCTATTCACTGCCCATACCTGCAACCCCACCCCAGCAAACCCTTCTCCCGCTCTCCCTCTGACAGTTCCAGGAGTCTCCATGCCCTCTCGCTCTTCTCCTTCCTCTCCTCTCCGTCCCTGTCTCTGTGTTCGGGAGACAGCATACGGTGTGATGAAGGTCCAGGTCTCCTTGGGCTGTGGTGGGCACTTCCATTTGCCCCATGTTTGAAACTGTCCCTCCACTAGGCCAGTGCCACTTCCCTGGGGAGGACAGGGTCGCCCACGGCACCCAGAAGGCCGGAGCTGCACTGCTGAGGTGGGGATCCTGGGGTGGTAAGGTGGGAGCAAGACCAGAACTCAGCTCGGGACGCCTGGATCGGAGGGGCCCGGTCAGGAGCAGAGGCCACATAGATAACCCAGGGACCAGTGAAGGCTGTGGGCAAGGGGATGGAGAGGGGATGGAGGGGGGTAGACACTCCAGAAAGGAGTGCTCGGGCTGAAGGTCCATAGGGGCAGTCAGAGGAGCTGCTCTGAGGGACACCAGCATCACCCCAGGACCAGGCAGACCCAGCCCTGGTGTGGCTGGTCCATGCCAGGCCTCCCCTAGGAACCATACTGCCAGGGCCGGGGCGAACCCTGCACCACCACTGCTGGGAAGGGGGAAGGGGGAATCAGGTCTGGCCGGGCCCAGCATTGACTCCCCAACACCCCTGGCGGTGACAGCCCGCGGGATCCTCTCATGGGAGGAGCCAGGCTAAATAAGGAGCCAGACAGAAGATGCTGCTCCAAACAGATTTTCCTGGAAAAGACCATCTGGCACAGGATGTCTCCAGCCCTGCCTGTCGCCAGAGGCAGCGCCGGAATCCAGCAAGCGGGCGCCCAGCACAGCACGGCACAGCACGCCGCCCTCCTGGAAGCCCCCACCCCTCCACGGAGCCCTTTCCCCGAAACTGCCCCCCTAGCCCCAGATGGAAAGACTCCAGGCCCACCTCCCTCCTGACCGCACCCCCTAGGAATATGGTGGGCCTGGGGGCCACATGGCTGAGCAGCAGGACGTTCTCAGGTGCAAATTATGGCAGCTGTGCCCTGAGCCTTAGGGTCCCCCACAGAAGGGGGCTGGTGGCCTGCATCCCTCTCATGAGAGCCCGAGGCAGTCAGGCCCAGGGGCACACAAGCCTTCCCTCAGTCTGTTGGGTACAGAAGTCCCAGGAGCCGATGGCCTCCTCAGGAGAGCCCAGGAGGCATTGCTGGGGCCCTCGGAGAGGATGGGCCCCAGAGATGTAGGGGGGTACCGCTGGTTCTGGCAGTTGAAAGGCTCTGAGGAACTCACGGCCCCCCACAGGGGGCACCAGATGGGAAGACCCTCCAGCAAGGCCCAGTCACCCACCACCACTTGGCAACCCTCGAGGTCACCCCTAAACATGAGCTCAGCACATGCTCCCCAAGAAGCCCCTGCCTCTTCCTGCTCGGGGTGCAGAATCTAGCGCTCCCCCAAAGGGAGAGGTGGGGATGGAGATGCTTTATACCACTGTTCCTCAAAGCCGCCCCCACCCTCCCCACACCCCCACCCCGTTCCTCCACCCCACGGCCCATTAAGTAGCTCTCATGTCCAGGGTCTGGAAGGCAGAAGTGTAAGACCAACAAAGTCCAAATACCACCTCCAGCACCCCAGCACCCCAGCACGCCGGCTGCCCTTTTGCCCCTTCACCTTCAGCCTTCTCCCCTGGGGCTGATGCCTTTGCCCCTCGGTCTCTCCCACAACCCCTAAATCGGCCCCAAGACAAAGGGGAGGGCTGGGACAGAAACCCCCTGGGTCTGTGCAGAGACAATGCGACCAGTTCTAACTCTGGAAATCCCCCCAGCCCCTCCAGGGATAGCCGGAGTCAAAACTGTTCCCCCTCCTAGGGCCCTGGGCAGGCGGGTGCCCACATCTGGACGCCCTGCCCCTCCCCAGCCAGCAGCGGGGAGGACCCCTCCCTTCCTGCGGCGGCCTCGGCCATTATGTGGCTCCTTCTCCTTCTCCTTCCCCAGCCTCCAGGGCTGCCTGCCACGCCCCCGGCAGAGCCCAGCGAGGCAGGCCCGAGCCCCGCTGTCAAAGTTGGGAAACTGGAAACAGAAATAAATCCTCCAAGCTGCTCCGCAGTGAAGGCGGCGGGTGGCACCGCGGGCACCTACAACCCAGGTGCACGGCCGCCAAGCAGCCACTGCACCCCACCTAGGAGCGTACACGCGTACACACACACACACACACACACACACACACACACACACACACACACTGATGATACAAAAGGAGGGCTGGGGGGGCAAAGCCCGGGACAGGCTGCTCTGGGGTTCCCAGCTGCCCCCCTCCTCGCTGGCCCACACCAGGCCAGCCCGGGCTTCCTCGCTCGGCCCCATCTCCATGACAACGGGATCCCTCGGATGCTCCAGCGCAGCTCCCAACGCAGCTTTGTTAGCAGACCCGGGAGGCCTGGAGGGCGGAGGGCGGCGCCGGGCCACCCAGCACGCCACCCCCTGCACCCCGTCCCAGCCCCCAGCCCGGCTTCCGATGGGCGGAGGGGCGGGTCCCCCAGCACGCGGCGCCCGGGGACCAGGTGGCCCGCGATCCCACTCACCGGTCTTGGTCCACTCTCGGGGTGCAGCCCCTCACGGCGGGGCCATGCGGGGGCCCCCCGCCCACCGGCCCGGCCCCTCGCTGCTGCGGCCGCGACCACGGCCCTTCAGGTGTGGAGCCCAGCCGGGCAGTGGAGGAGCCAGCGCGGGAGCCGGAGGAAGGCGGGAGGGCGGGGAGGAGGCCGCGGGAGGAAGGAGGGAGGAGCGGGACGGGCGGGGAAGGGCGGGGCGACTGCGGGCAGCAGCGGCCAGGGAGCGAGTGGGAGGCCGCCTCCCGCCCCGCCACCGCCCCCATCCAGGGACCCACCGTGCCACCGTGTCGGGCGCAGCCCACACCCGCCAGCGCCTCCTGCACCCGCCGCCCCCGGTCCCAACCCTTTAAGAAAGGGGGGAGGGGCGCAATCCGAGGTTCCACCCCTCAACCCTCTCTTAGCCTCCTCTCCACCCCCCTCCAGTTGCAATCCAGCTGGGCTTCAGCTGTCCCCTGAGCCAGGCCAGACCAAATCACAGGTTGTCGCTCACCATACCTCAAGTGACTCCCAGACTCAATCCCCCGGAGCTACTGGTCCTCCCAGAGGTGAGGGAGGGCGTGGGTCCAAGGCCCTCAGGCCTGTTGACTCTTTGCCCTGCAACCCCAAATCCACCTGGGGAGTGTGCAGAGGGCGTTCTCAGAGAGGGGTCCTGCCCAGCGGAGGCTCAGAGCCCAGGAGGGCCGGAAGGAGGTCCGACCAGGGATGCGAGAGGTGGCAGGCCAGGCCCCCGGAAACCAGCTGGGATCAGTCTGTCCAGGGATCACGGGCCCCTAGTCCCTCCACTCAAGCCCTCTGCCTGGCCTTGATCTGCTCTGCCCAGTGAACTCCTACTCAGTCCTCAACTCCCCCCTCAAACGCCCCTTTCCTCCATGACGCTTTCTCTGACCTGCTCTCCCCCACACGCAATCAGGGACACTCTCCTAGGGAGAAAGTGAGGGGGGAGAATTTCTGGCCCCTGGGGGGCAAAAGTAAGCAGGGGTGCACAGCAAGTGCTTCCAGGTGTGACACAAACCCGTAGTAAGACAACCTCCCACCCATGTTAGAGATGAGAAAAAGGGGTGCCTAGGGTGTAAGTGACCTGCTGAGGCCCTGAGGGGGTTGGCCTGTAGATGTAGCAGGGAGGCAGCAGACGCCCTAACACGCTCCTCACTGGGATACCCAGCGGCCCACCTACGGGCGTCACCACGGAGCCCAGAACAAGTGTCTTCCAGAGAGGACACACTCACAGCCCAGCCGCTATTCCCCTGCTTCTGTAGCAGAGAAGTGGAGGGAGAGATGCAGGAGGTGGTGGGGACATGCTGTCCTTGGACCCCAACCCGAGTTTTTCACCTGTTGCGTTCTCTGCTGAGCCCCCAGCCCTGGGCCACCTCTCTGGCATTCCTTCTTTTCACCCCTATTGGCCAGAGCAGGAGCAGCCTCTTCTGGAGGTCAGAGCAGCTGAGGTGTTCAGATGCACTTGCTGGGTACCCCGATGAACTCAGAGCCCCACACGGCTCCCACAGGAACGAGCCACCCATTCACAAGCTCTTGGTTGAACCTCAGAGGACCCAGTCTGACTCCGTGTTCCCTGAGGGCAGGAGCGGCTTGGATCACAGTTAATCCAGGGCCTGACACACAGCACAACTCAGCAACAGAGGTGGGAGGATGGCTGAGGACAGTGGGCCGGACAGCTGCCTCACCTGAGGCCCGGCACCAAGAACCTAGTTGCTGCCTGGGACCCGCTGAGCATCTGGCTCTGCGAGTGCGAGTGTGTGACTGTGAGTGCAGATGTGTGTGTGTGAGTATAAGTGCGAGTGCATGAGTGAGTGTGTGTGTGAGTATCAGTGCAAGTGCATGAGTGCCAGTGTGAGTGTGTGTAACTGTGAGTGCAGTTGTGTGTGTGTGAGTTTAAGTGCGAGTGCATCAGTGCCAGTGTGTGTGTGTGACTGTGAGTGCAGGTATGTGAGTATAAGTGCGAGTGCGTGAGTGCTAGCATGAGTATGTGTGTGTGAGTATAAGTACAAGTACATGAGTGCCAGTGTGTGAGTGTGTGTGTGTGACTGTGAGTGCAGTTGTGTGTGTGTGAGTAAAAGTGCGAGTGCATCAGTGCCAGTGTGTGTGTGTGTGACTGTGAGTGCAGGGGTGTGTGTGTGTGTGTGTGTGTGTGAGTATAAGTGCGAGAGCGTGAGTGCTAGGGTGAGTGTGTGTGTGAGTGTAAGTGCGAGTGCATGAGTGCCAGTGTGTAAGTGTGTGTGTGACTGAGTGCAGGTGTATGTGTGTGTGAGCGCGCAGGTGTGTGTGTGTGTGAGCGTACAGGTGTGTGTGTGTGAGCGCGAGTGTGTGAGCATGGACAGGAGCCATCAAGGAGCCTCTGCAGCTGGCCCCTAAAGCTGGCCCAGGCCAGGGGCCTATGCAGAGAGCTTGCTGGGGACTCTGACTCTGGAGAGCCACTTGCGTGACGGTCCCTTCCCGCTAATATTGCCTCTTCAAAGGAAATGCAGTGCTGGAGTGGGAACGATAGTGCAACGGGGAGGGTGAGTCAATTCTGGAACAGATAAAGTCCCCTGAGCCCCACGGGGAGTGACCCCTGAGCAGGGCAGCAGGCTGCATGCAAGGTACACACCATCCCATAAAGGGGCCCCTCAGAGGCCCTGCTGGGATGCCAGAGCCCGGGGAAGCCTCACCCCAACTTCTCCACAGCACCTGCCCCAGGCTCAGCTACCACCAGAAACTCCCGCCCTGAACTCCTGGGACTCTCCCTGCTACGGGCACCTCCTCTTCCTCTGCCAGCTCCCCTGCCCTCAGGACCCTGCCCCCTGCCCCACCACACACAGCCCCCCTCCCCGCTGCCTTCCAGATGAACCTGCCCCCCCCACGTCCCTGTGTCCCAGGGCCTCCTGCAGCTGGACTGTCCCCTCGGTCCTTTCTTTGGTCCTTCGTTTCCACAGCACAGGTTGCAACACTGGGAGCCAGCCCCACCCTGCTTACACACACACACACACACACACATATGCACACACACACACACACACAGACCCCGGGCCAAACAGTAACAGTACTGCTGGAGGGGTCCTCGCTGGGGTCCCCTTCCTCCACAATATGCCCAGCAGAGAGGAGTCAGTCAGTCTGGTCTGCCCAGTTCCACGTCCTTACAGTGGCCCACCCCGTGCCACCTGGGCCTCTCCGGCCTTGTGTCTCTCTCACTGCCTCTCACACAGCAGAGCCCTTGCTGCCCCCCCCCCCCGCCAGAGCCCCCCCAGGAGCTCCCCACTCAGACCTGCCCTGGATGCTCCCCCTGACGTGTGTCTGTGTCCATGTCCGCAGTTGTGCTGGCTACTCGGGCACTGGCTCTCTTTGCCACCAGCTCCTCACTGAACTGAGAGCACCACAGGGACAGGAAACATGTCCTGTCTCTGCAGACCCCAGGGCCTGGCACTGTGCCTGGCACACAGGGGGCAACCAGAGATAAAGAAGGAAACGACCAAATTTAAAGGAGCTGTGAGATGCTGGCAGGGGGCAGGAGTCTGGGGGGGAGGGACCTGGGGACATTGGCTGCAGGGAGCTGATGCTGGGGGTGGGGATCTGCGCTGGAACAACGTACTCCCGAAACTTGGCGATGAATGACTTGGGAAATCATGGCGCTTTCATAAAATAGCACTGTCTGTAGCACTGTCCTTCCGTTGCTCATCGATTTGCTCAAACGGGCACCAGTAACACCTCCATTGTGAGACTTGTTGTTACTGCTTTTGGCATATCGAATACGCCACAAGAGCTTGCCAGTCTCTGCCATGAGGGCAGGATACTCTCGGTAGCTTGCCAGGCTCTCCGAGCGGGGCAGAGGAATCGAGCCTGGGTCGGCAGCGTGCAAGGCAAATGCCCTACCCACAGTGTTATCAATAAATTTTATTTATTTTTTTGGCTTTTTGGGTCACATCTGGTGATGAACAGGGGTTACTCCTGGCTCTGCACTCAGGAATTATTCCTGGTGGTGCTCAGGGGACTCTATGGGATGCTGGGAATCGAACCTGGGTCAGCCACATGCAAGGCAAACACCCTACTCTCTGTACGATTGCTCCAGTCTATAAAATAAATTTTAAAAAAGAAAACTGAGGGTCAGAGAAATAGTACAGCAGGTAGGGTGTTTGCCTTGCACGTGGCCCAACTGAGTTCGGTCCCTGCCAATCCATACAGTCCCCCAAGCTGGTCAGGAATGATCCCTGAGAACAGAGCCAGGAGTAAGCCTTGAGCATCAGTAGATGTGACCCAAATTCCACCCCTCCCCACCAATCCCCTCAAAGACTAAAGCACAAATGATGTGGGATGACCACCTCTGGGGAACCTCCCAGGTGCCGCCCCCCCAGCCCCTCAAGCCTGTTCATGAGCGTCCACTGTGCTGCTCCTCTCTGGAACTGATGTGCTGTGAGGGCTGGCAAGGGCCCTTCTTTTTATTTTATTTATTTATTTATTTATTTATTTATTTATTTTTGCTTTTTGGGTCACACCCAGTGATGCTCAGGGATTACTCCTGGCTCTGCACACAGGAATTACTCCTGGCGGTGCTTGGGAGACCATATGGGATGCCGGAGATCGAAACCAGGTCGGTCACGTGCAAGGCAAATGCCCTACAAACTGTACTATCACTCCGATCCCAAGGGCCCTTCTTTTTAATTTACCTTTTCTTTTTGTTTTTTTAGGAGGGGCTATCCCTATTAATGCTCAGGGGTAATTCCTGGCTCTGCACTCAGGGATCACTCCTGGTGGTGCTTGGGGACCATATGGAATGCCAGGAAATTGAACCCAAGGACCCTACACACTGTACTATCTCCCCGGCTGTCTGGGTCCCCCGCGCAACCACCACAGGAAGGTCAGGCACCCAAAGCCCTGGAGAGAGCCACGTATGAGCCGAGGATACAGCCTGGGCAGGGGTGCGCTGGGCCTGGTAGGAACTTGGTGGCCTTGGGCAGGGATGTGACCCTTGAGAAGCAGGGCAGGCAGTATGGAAGCCACAGCTAGAGTCATAAGCCCTGTCACCGTCCTGCCTGGCAGCTGGGGGCAGTGTGGGCAGAAGGGACCTCCTGGGAGCCTGGCTGACCCCTCCTCAGCTCCCCGGGGACCAAGGCTGCCATGCATGCCCTGGGCAGCAGGTCTGCTCTTCCCAAACAGGGGGCTGTCGGCACGCTAGCGTCACTGGCTGAAGGAGAGGACAGGGATGGAAAGGGCAGGTGGAGGGGAGCAGGCACAGCCCAGGGAGGGACAGAGGTCGGGGGAAGGTCACAGGCGGCAAGCAGGAT